ACCTCGACCGAGTAGTCCATTTTCCATGTTTTTTTAAGCAAAAAACTCAACGCTCATGTCGAATTTCGAAATGAATTATTATTAGAAGTTGTTCCCATATGATGCCGATCCAGTGCCGGATAACTAAACGTATGAAAGCATATCATAAAATTACTAGTGTTTTTTGAGTATTTCGACAGTTAAAATCTCTGACAACAAAAAAGATTTTTGAAAAATCGACGAATTGGTGGAATGTGGCTACTGTCATTCACAGCAACAAAACTCTAGAGGAGCCTCTGAAACTGCAATCCTATAAACTTTTATGAAAAAATTCCTTAGAATCGTGATTTCCAAACGTAGAAATTGCCTTGCGAATTTGTTTGACATTAAAACGTATTTAAAATGAAACAAGGAACAGGATGGGCAAAAAACGTCTGAATCATCTCACTTTGATGGATATACAGCATGATTTTCTTAAAAAAGTTGATATTGAAAGTGTCATCTGTCAATTTGCTCATATTGAATTCAGAAAAGTTTATTTGTAATAGTGTTGTTTCATTTTATTTCATACCCTAAACTTGAGAACCGCAAACCAAGGGCCCCTTGACATAATTTGCTACAGAAGAAGAAGAACTTTATGTCCAAATAGGCAAGCCTAATATAAACATGGTTAACATATTCTATTTACACATACTTAATACATAAAAATCAAAATATTTGTCTATTTCAACAAAATAACAATAAATAACAGAGAACTATATCACATAAATTCTATAAAGTAATCTATTTTACCTATTTATTCTAACAAAGTCGTAGTTAATAATATATTTTGAATATAAGTTAGCTTCAATTCAATTTGTTGTTATGAATGTTATCAACTCCCTCTTGAATAAACGGATGGAAAATGAATTTTTTATATTATTTGGCAGTTTATTAAAATTATCCAAACCCTTGAAAAATAATGAGTTTATACTGCTTCGTGAATTTGTCCTTGGGATGTAGAAATTGGTATTCGATCTGGTATTATGATGATGTACTTCATTGTTCGTGATTAGAAGGTTTTCTAAATATGTTGGTTGCAATTTATTTATTATTTTAAATATAAATATCATAGTTAGATAGTAAAGTCGTTGAGAAACTGTAAGCCACCTTAATCTACAAAGCATATCTTGTATAGGTGTCATTCTATTGCAGCGTAGTATTATTCGCATTCCACGATTCTGCAATTTTTGTAATTGGTTTAATTTGTTCTGATTAATAAGATATAAGAGAGTACCGCAGAAATCATAATCAGGTTTTATTATGCAATTATAACATGTTATTTTGGCATACATTGATAGTGAAGATGACACTCTTGACAAAAAATACAGTTTTTTCTGTGACGGGAAAAAAGTTTGGCATTTCATCCCTGTTGGCAGGTTATAAAATGTCACTTTTCATAAATTACTTTTTTCCCGTGGGAAAAAAGTGAGTACTTCTTTCCCGGATATATATCACATATACATACACTGTTGATGGCTTTTGTTGTGCTATAGTTCCGAAAAATGAGTCAATAATACCGTCTCCGAGAAAGAACTGCAAGCCTTTTATCTTCCATTCGACTTCGCGTTTACCTATATTGCTGAATAACCACTGAATTCGCAATTTCTTGAAATAAAATCACAAAATTAGACTGACAGAAGTGACATCAGATATTTGATTACTTCAAATGAATGATAAAGATGCCTACAACGCGGTGTCCCTACTGTTAAAAACTTAAAATTTCACGTCGATAATTTTCAGATATCAAAATAATGTAATATCTCCTCAATATTGATTCGTCCTTCCTTCTGTCACAGAAAAAAATAGTGTATTATACACGGGAAAAATATTAGATTTTAGCTCACGGTTTGTTGTCTCCCTCCGCTACGCGTCGGGAGACAACACAACCTGGAGCTAAAATCTACTACTTTTTTCCCTTGTATAATAAATAACTATTTTTTGATATTTTACTTATTACATAGTCAGCATTATCATTCAATGAAATTGTGTTATCTACAATAAATCCTAGATACTTAAACTTACTCACAATTTCTACATCATTTTCATTTATTTTAATGTTGACTTGATTCCTTTCAATGTTATGTTGTTTATATTTTGTTGTAATGATCATCGCCTTAGTTTTATTGATATTTAGTTTCAGTTTATTTTTTCCAAGGTACAACTCAATATTTTTCAAATTATTCATCTTTTCAACAGCACGGTTTTATCATAGGTATATGTACATCAACGTGTCATCTGCAAAAAGGTTAATTACGTGATCTCCATGTACGTAATTGATATCATTTATATAAATTAAAAAAAGTAAGGGCCCTAATACACTGCCTTGTGGTACTCCAAGATCATTTTTCATATTTTGCGAGTAGCACCCATTAATTTTTGTTATTTGACTCCTAAAACTGAGATAACTTTTCAACCACTTCAAAACTATATCACCAATACCATAATATTCGAGCTTTTGGATTAATATATTTCTGTCTATTGTTTGGAATGCCCTTTTCAAATCCAAGAATGTAGTAACAACGTAATTATCTTTATCAATTTTTTCTTTCCAGGCCCCACGCTGGCTTAATCTAGAGTTCCTAAATGTACTTGACACTGCTGTTTTGACGTTTTTTGTATATTAGATATCAGATAATCAAACATAACCACCAACGATTTTGAAGCAAATCATATGTTTTGCCAGACAAGGACAAGAATATGTTTTTTGCTTAGATAAAGGATCCTCGCATCTTCCTTCCTCCACAAGTCCTGGAAAGAGTACATCCATATATATTTCTCTGTCTTTGATTCTCGAGTGGGTAAAAGGGTACGATAAATTGATTAGAAAACTCTTTCTTCTCGAAATATTGAATGATAAGGCTGAAGGACCTCAATGGAGGTCGATATCAAGTTGGTATGTACATATATACCAACGAAATACATATACTATTCCTATGAAATAAGTCTCTTATATGTAGGTATATATACGTTCAGTTGAATATTTTTTCATCACAAAAGTTCAGAATGGGGGTAAAAACTGATGAATATCAACCAATGAAACATACTTTTATTTCATATGAAACAATTTCACTTGTACAAGAGTGGTAGGTAATAAGTAATTAATAAATGAACAAATGATATGGTTTTTCAAATGCAAAAGTTTTTCATAGTACTGTTCATCGAAACTATGAATTTTGCTCAAAATTTACTTGTTCAATTTTCTTGTATTTCTCTGGAGATATTTGCTGATTTTGTTTCAAATCTGAAATAATTTTTAGGTAATAGTTCTGAATTTTGCTAACTCTGACTTTTTTATCTAAATCTTTTTGCTTCAACTTATTTTCCAACTCTATTTTTTTCTTCTATTTGTTTCCTTAATTCCTCACTCTTTTCCACTCGCGAACCTAGGATTTCTTAATATTCCTGCTCTAAAAATTCGATTCTCAAGTCTTTTTCTTTCAAAATATGTTCGAAATGAATTTCATTATCTGCAAGTTTTTCGTATCTCTTTGGTTCTAAATTGTGATAAGGTTCTTTTCGATACTCGCTCAGTTTATGAATTGTGGATTTGGCTCTTTCTCTCAATATGATCCTATTCTTCCTATCTCCCCGTTCTGAAATGTACCTGATAAAAATGCGTTGAAAATTGTTCTATATCCTACCAACAAATTTGAATACCTCGCAAATTTTGTGGCCTGAAACTGAATTCCATGCCGGCCGCATCATATTCTGTTTCCATTTTTGTAGAATTACGTTATCCGATGAAATTTCGAATAGAGTGAATTGATTTCCCGTTTTCTCATAGTTGAAAACTGCACAAACTTGCATCTTTCTCCTAATTCTTCCAATTTGTCAAACCTTTGAAATTTATGTCATAGTTGGATACTGCACAAACTTGCATCTTTCTCCTAATTCTCTCAATTTGTCAAACCTTTGAAATTTATGTCGTGTACGTCCGTGTAATGTCAGTTCCCGCTTTTTCCATCAATTTATTTGTGGTTATGTCTGATTGTCAGTGCTTGTAATAGTGTCCGTACTCTAATATACAAAAAACGTCAAAACAGCAATTTCAAGTACATTTAGGAACTCTAGCTTAATCCAGCACTGTGCCGACATTATTAATGACACTATACAGCGTGGTCATTTAAGTGAGCAACATATGGAAATCTTTTTAATGAATTGCACAACCAAAATACTGATGGTGCCAAAAGTTGGTGCATGTTCGGTAATCATTTTAGGTGCACTCAGAATGGTTGCAAGTCACACAGCATACAGGGTAGGTCAAAAACTATAAAAAGTACTCAAGAGTAAAGTACCATTATTTCAGAGAATTCAGCAAAATGTTATCCAAAGACATTTTTCAGTTTTTCAATTTTGTTCGTGAATTATTTCCCAATTTGTAATTTTTTTATATTCACCCTGAATACTTTCATAAGTTAATCATCACAAAATCAATTGAGCATACCTTTGTTCAAATCCAAGCATATTTGTGCAATAAACTTAGATTTTAATTTTTTTAGGGTATCACAAACTTTATGTTTGTTGCAACGATATTCAGCTTAACTTTAAAATTTCGCAAACCATATTTTCAACAAGGTGAAACATCATTAATGATAATATGCATATTCAAGAACTTCAATTCAATGTGCATATTTTGTATTTGAAATGTCAAAAATTGGGAAATTATTGACGAACAAAACTGAAAAACTAAAAAATGTCTGAGGATATTCAGGCATAACTTTCAATTGTGAACAACTTTTCTCAATAACATTTTGATGAATTTTCTGAAATAAGGGTACTTCACTCTTGAGCAATTTTTATATTTTTTGACCTACCCTGTATGCTGTGTGACTTGCAACCATTCTAAGTGCACCTAAAATGATTACCGAACATGCAAAAACCTTTGGCACTATCTGTATTTTCGTTGTGCAATTCATTAAAAAGATTTCCATATGTTGCACACTTAAATGATCACACTGTAGATAGAAAAATACTCACCTGTCCGCTCCGACATCAGCCTCCCCCTCTTCGCCCTCCACCCCTTCCTGGTGCTGCTGCGCCTTGCGCATCTTCGCCTGGTACCGTCTGGCCAGCTCGGCCACCAGCTCGTCCCGATTCGCCATATCGGGATTCAGGATGATCATGTTCTGCGGCAGGTCGAAATGGAAAGAGACATTGTTCCAAAAAGTGAAGAACTCGTTCATGCCCAACAGTTGGCCGTAACGCTTTCGAGATACGCCCTCTTCAGAGAAATCCAGAGAGCTACGCGACTCCGAGTTCGGTCTTAGTGCCAAAAAAGTCCTGTAAATAAAAAATACAAATACAATCCACTATCCAGCAAGCATCGAATATATTGGTCCTTCGAGCCGGATCTATTCAAATTCCAACCTCTTTATTTCATGATTATATCATTTAACCAAACAAATACAATCCACTATCTATCAAGCATCGACCATTCTTTGATCTTTCCTGTGCCTTTGATAGTCTACAAATAACATTCATCCTAGAAAAACTTAATAGAAATGGAATGAGGGGAAAAATTCTCGATGTTCTAGAATCCTATTTGACTAAAAATAAGGCGTATGCGCAAGTATACAATGAAGTTTCAGAACAATACTGTATGGATATTGGTGTTCCACAAGGGTCGGTGCTGGGACCACTACTATTCATACTTTTTGTCAATGATATGCCTGATCATGTATCAAATGGACATGTCACGATGATTGCAGATGACTCTTCAGTAGTGGTCTCAGCAAATTCATAGTTTCGATGAACAATACTATGAAAAACTTTTGCATTTGAAAAACCGAATGGAAGATTTGAATAACAAACTAAATAATATTAGTATGTCTTGGAGAACCTTTATTATTCATCCTAACTGAAATCAGCTGCAAATACTCTGGAAGAACTCGAAATTACAATGACCAATGTGACCAATCCTTTTGAAATATGGTGCGGTGCCAATAACTTATTACTGAATGTAGAAAAATCAGTTTACCTTCAATTTAAATGTACGAACAATAATCCTAGCTTACCAGAGACATAGGTTACTCATTCAGAGTCTACCAAATTTTTGGGACTATATCTTGACCAGAATATGACATGGGATAATCATATACAACATGATTTGAAAACACTCAATTATGGGTTTTTCGCAATACTAAAATTAAAAAAACTGTGGACAGAAAAGTGCTTGTTGATATGTATTATTCACTTGTATACAGCCACATGTCATATAATGTCATCTTATGGGGAGACTGCACCAATTCCGAAAGGATATTTGTCAGTCAGAAACGAATTCTAAGACTCATGTTTCAATGGAATTTGGAGATAGTTGTAAATCCACCTTCATCCAGAAAGAGATATTGACATTTCCTTGTGTGTATATCTATAAAGTACTCATATACGTGAAAGAAAATTTTCATAAATTTAATCAGAACTCTTTTTATCATAATTACCCTACAAGAACCCTATACATGACAACAGTATTCTAAAACTGGCAGTATTTGTGCTTTATAGATCATGAAAAGCTGTTGAGGTGTAAAGTAGAGTTTCGCACAGAACAAGAATCCGAGTTTTTGTGGAGCAGCTTTTGCGATGTATCGGACATGATTTTCCAATGAGTGCTGATGGTAATACCGAGCATAGATATACCTAGTGGTCTTGGTGGAAATGGTGGTACCAGACATTGTTATATCAAGCATACTGTTTCTAGAGAAAGTACAGGATTGAGTTTTGGAGGCGTTGAATTCAACTAGGTTGTTGGTTCCCCAGGCTGTAATTTCTGCAAGATCTTCATTGAAATTCTCAAGTTTCTTGGGAAGAAATGGGAAATCTAGAAGAGAGTACTACCTTCTGCAGAGCTGTGAATAGGGGACAAGTGGTTGCTCCAAATAGATCGTTGTTAAACCCGGTATTTTGTTGAAGGTGGTGGGAGACAGCTACGTCATAATGACGTCAACATTAACAATTTTTGAATTGACCTAACTGATCATGTCTATAAAAATAAGAAATAAAAAATTAGAGAAAATTGTCTGCAAACATGTTGTTGCTAGATGATTTGACCCCTGTTTCATTAGGAGGAAAATACATTACATACTTCATTTGATCAAAGAGAATCATCAAAGTATTGCCACATCACTGCTCTAAGAGGTATCAGGTGTGGCATCATTTCAGGAACCCTCATTTCTTTGGAACCTACTAATATATCATTACCTAGAATATCAGATTTCTTCTATTGCATGTTTCGAATGAGGAGAGATAGTTGGAGCCATATCTATAGATCCGAAACATATCGTTTAAGGCACTTGTCATCTGGAAACATGAAATTACCTAATCTCTACCCTACAATTTTGTAACCTTTGTACATTTGCCTGTGTATCTCGTACTTCGACATCCATTCTATTGATTTGTAAAATTTTAGTGTTTCCTCTTTAATATCCTCCATCTTTCACTTTGTAAACAAATCTTCAAATCAAAGTTTAAAATTAACTAACTTTACCAACGTTCGACTTGGTGGGCAGGTAGGGGAGGTGAATTCAAACGGAAATGACGTCACGGTCAAGCACAAAGATATGAGAATATCAGTTTTAACCATGACGGGTAATGTGAATTAAATATCTATATAAGGCAGGAACAATGTTTATGTCAAGATTGAGCCTTGTGGAACGCCGGAATTGATGGCAATGGTATCAGACGATACTCCGTCTACCATCACAATCACAAATAGAACACATAATTATCAAATACCAATACGAATCCGATAATGAGCGAGTGGACTGATAATGAATTATTGACATTCAATTACTCCACTGTGTCGTTAGGAACCTAAATTAATTTTTGCAACACTTCTCACGATTTTTTTATGTAAATAATGTCTATGCGTTGTTCAAAATCGTTGAATTTTAGAGCTCATTTCAAACGTAACGTCATGGCCGCCATTAAGCGATACGTCGAATTAATGGTGATATCAGTTTTTATACTGTTTCGTTATTGGTCAGATAATCTTCCATTTCCACTCAAGGTTGTCAAGTCACCAATTATAATCAAGTTATCAAAAAGATGTTTGAGTCCTGTCGTTGAATAAAACATAATAGGACGAACTCATGACATTATAGCTCATTCTTGACTTTTTCGAGCAACCAGCATGTCCAAATATTTCTCATTCTCCATAACAAAATATCATGTGAATGTTGGAGACTCGGCAACATTATGCTGGATGCTGAGAACTGACAAGATCACGCCCATAAGTCGTTCGCAGGGTTGTCAAGTTCACCGATTTGAATGTCCTCTAGTGTGAATTGATATAATTATTATTTTCACAAATTTATTATGAGCAATAAGTCAGAAATCATTAGGGAACATTTTGAGACAATTGAATTTTTATTGCTTAATAGGAATATTACCAATACTCAATTGCGAATTTTTGAATTATTGAATAACTAATATTTCTGAAGTTCATATTTCGACACATGGCAACTGTGCTATGGTCTACCCCTACTTACGAAATCGTTGCATCAGTTTTTACTGGCGGTAAATTTGTAGCCGTTTGAAAATTACCGTGGCATTATTGATGTTTTTTGCACCTGAAAATCGAAAAAAAAATTCTTAAAAAATATGAAATTGGAAGGTATTTGATGGGCGTCGCCCTATCATCTCAGGTAATGCTCTAGCCGTTCGATATCTGAAGTTAAGCAGTGTCGAGCGCGGTTAGTACTTGGATAGGTGACCATTCGAGGAAACGCCGCGTAAGCCCGTACATCTGTAGCGGAATAGCATACCACAGCTACAGCAACCATATCAATGAGCACAAGATATGGTATGGATATGCCCTCCTTCGGAGGGGACGTTGAGCCGGCGGTCCCGAGGCCATGGATGTTGGACTCGTTAAAGATCCCTACCTCTGGTTGGAACACCAGAGGATTCGGCAAAATTTCCGGTTGGAGGTATAGTGTGCTCACCGGCGTCGGTGATCAGCCTCAGTAGCAGAAAAAGGCCGACGTTAAGGAAACGAGAAAAAAAAAAGAAAAAAAAAAGGTATTTGATGACTGATTCTATTTAAGAGATAAAAAAATATAGTCCACTCGGCTATTGTCGTAATATCGGTGAATTTGCCTACCTGTAACTCTCTACCCCTGTGGTGATGTTGTACGTAGTGAATTGGTAGAAAATATACAGCTGGGAGAGATGGTAAGGTCCCTGCCAGAGCTTGTCTCGCTTGCTGCTGAACTTGTTGTACGTTATGGTGTTGGATTTTCGCAATTCATCCACGGCCTTCCTGATTAAATGATCGGGGTACCTTTGGTACACTCTCAGTAACTGCAAGGCTTTGGCTAAAATATTGAAAAAAACATTCTGCCAACCTCTCATTAGAACAAAGTGGAAATAAAAAAATAATGAAAATAACTTTTCTCTACAAACGTCAGTAAAAGAATAATTTTTAACGCATGCGTTCAGTGTCTAAAATGTCATTTTATGACACTAGTGTTAAAACTACATCACATTCAGCACTAGTGATAAGTAAGGAGGAATATATTTAATTTGAAAAAGAAATGAATGATTTTTTGGCAGAAAATCGATTTTTTTTATTTTAATTAAAAATACGTGCGGCCTCATTTCGATAGGCAAACCGGTAATAGTAATTTTCCTAACAAATGCGAAAAGTGACACTTTCCCGCACGCGAATGTCGAGTGCGGAAAAGACATAGGTTTGACGTGGTCTTTACGGGATACCCTGTATATCCATTTTTTTGTGTTCATAATTATATTATATTACACTAGAAAATTAATTATACTTTATATATTATTTGTATAAAATGTATCAATGAAGAAAAGAATGTAATGCAATAACTGAAATGAAATAAATAAAAATAAATGTCTGAGAATATATAATATTTCTTCTTTTGACAATATTTAACTGAATGTATGAATGATAATAGATTGAATTCATATCTATATTTAATTAGGCTCTCAACCGGGATTCCAAGGGTCACTTTCGAGAAGAGAAAACTCTTGATCTTTGATATCCAACTTGAGTCAATTCTCATCTTCAGATCTCTTATTGAAGAAGAATATCCTCAGATATATTATGAACATGAAAAAATTGATATATACAGGGTGTTTCATAATATATGGAACGCACTTCGAGAGGTGATAGGGCGTCTCAAGAAAATAAAAAAGTTCCCATCAACAAACGTCGTAGAAGGCTTCGTTTACGAGATACAGGGTGTTAAAATTTCTAGATAACCGCTAAACAAAAATTCTAGATATTCTGGTGCACCTGAGTGATTGAATGGGTAGCATTATTTAATAATGAAGTCATCAAATATTCAAATTATATCAAGTTTCTTGGGCTGTACATAGATGAACATTTGTCATGATCAAAACATATTGAAATACCTGAAAAAAAATATCTCCAATAATAGGTATACTTTTTAGGGTACGGAATCAAGTTCCTATAAAATGACTCAAATCTATATTGATTGATTGATTGTCTTTATTACCCCAAGAAACATTTCTGTTTATGATAGGGATAAATAAATACATATAAAAAAATAATAATAAAGGGTTAACTATAATGAATTCCACTCAGTGGAAACGAATTAATATTGTGTCTTAAAAGATTAAAGTTATATTTCATTCCTAAGTAATCTAAACTTGAATATTTGATTTCTGTATGGGGTTCAACAAAACTATCAATTATAAAGCCTCTCAAAAGTATTCAAAATAAAATTATCAAATGTATTACAGACTAAATTATTCGTAACCTACTATGAACCTTAACAGAAGAAGAGAGTTATTAGATATGGATTCACTATATGAATTCAAATTAATGTCGTTCATTCATTCAGTAAAACATTGTCAAAAGCATTCAAATTTGGTTTTCCAAATTAATAGTAATCACCACAGTCATACAACTAGACAAGCAGATCATTTTTCTGTCAAGAAAATTAAATCAGATATTGGTAAAAAATCCATCGATCACAATGATACAATACAATTCACTACTAAATAACTTGAAGCTGATTAATAGGATTGAAAAATTTAAAAAAGAATTCAAGAAACATCTACTCCTGTAATATTGACATCTTATCTCATTTTTATAGTTTTTTTGTCTCATTTTACTGTCATTTTAAATTAAATTGTCAAATATATTTATGTATTCACATGTTGCCTGCTATAAACAAATGTTGTTTCTTGGGAATAATAAAGTTGATTGATTGATTGATTTAGTCAGTCTGACTGCCAGTGGCACCGTTAAGGGGTGTTGATGTGTGATTCGTCAGATAAAACATGGGTAGCAATGAAACTTTTCGAAATTTTAATCGAAAATATGAAAGATGCAATTTTCTAGAAAAAGCACCAAGTGTTGAAACTCGTAAAGATACAGTGTTTTCGATAAAAACCGAATAACCGAATTCAACTCCAAAATTTGATGTAGATGTCCGACAATGTCGGATAGTCCATTCAAGATATCTGTTCAGATTACTCTATAACCATGATAGATACCATTCTGTAATTGTGGGACTAAGCCAGTCACATAACAGACTAAATTTTGCCACCACGATACAGGATAAGCGCTATACAGGGTAACATAATTCTTTTTTATTAATATTCTCAACTTCAACACCCTGTGGGATATAGCCTTCTTCGATATTTGTTGATGGGTAGACATTAAAAGTGGAAAGTCCAGAACCGTGTTTGGCACCAAGGACTTCTCCACAAATTTCCATCATATGGCTCACCATAACAGCAATAAAACCAAAAAATGAAGCCATTGAAAAAATATAGCGGTCGAAATAAGATTTGGGGTGAGACCCCTATTTCCACCCAAAATTGATGCTCATGGATCGTGGAAAACGAAGCGACGTTGCCACAGTACATTTAAATGGCGAGATAGCAAATTAAGTTTGAAAATGGATAGAAAGTGAATGGGTCTCAGATATTTATCCTATATTTGAAGACTAAGGAGAAACCACATATTTTGGGAGTTTTTGTTAGACTGAATCAAATTGCTGTGTTCATGTTGATTGTTTATTCAATAATTCTATTATTTCGTAGATTGGAGGAGCAAAATTCCCGAAAAATTTAGAGAAAAATTATAGCAGATCTAAAACGATTAAAATTAAGTTCATTACATCAGCTAGAGAAACCAAATGTGGGTCATATTATCAATTTGAATTGAAATTGTATTAACTCATATAAATATGTTACAATAACCCCCAATTATTATTTGGATATATTTTTTTCCTCTTTGAATGTTTTGATTGTTATTCGTCTCCATCATGAAAAAACGTGATACATGAAATGTATAATTGGAGATCACTCATATGGATAAATTTGATCGAAAATTTTCGATGTCACCTTCCCAATTTTGAGCAGTTTACCTTAGGATAAAGTGAAAATGAGAACTTACTTGCATTATTTCCGCACACAACGGAACTGTGTATAACCGATTTCAACACATCCACCTTGATCTCATCTTCACTCGTCGCATCTTTGAACTTGAGAGACGATTTTTCTTGTGGGACCATAACTTGCTCGGTGTATTTCAAATTATTTTCCGACAAATGATCGATATCGATCACATTTCCTGGAAAACAAAAACCAAGTGAAGCACGTAACAAGTCCGGAAAATAATATTCCTCTAGCAGTGCCGGATTTATACTCCCTTACGCCGGGGGCTAACTTTTACGATGCCGCCGCGCGACCGCCAAATATTTAATTTTCAATTGTCAGATTCAAAATTCAAATAATCCTCTCACTGCTTCTTTTACAGCATGTAACAATAACATGAAATCATCATGCAACGAATCAAATTATGTTTATTTCACAAGTTGAACTTAACAACAAACAACAAAGATTTTTCTCAGATGAATATTTAAATACCTTTCTTGATTTTTTTGATGCAAAGTCGTCAACGGCATCATCAAAATTCAGATTTAATAACATGTCACTGTTGATACTCAAAATTGATAGGATATTCAATATATCCTCCTATGGAATTGCTAAGGTAGTTTTTCACTCTTTTTAAATTTGAGAATGACATTTCACCACTGGCATTACTAATCATCAGGGATAGTAAAAAAAATCTCAGTAATTGCCAATATTCAATGAATAAGGAATTTGTTGTGATTATCCCTAAAACAACGCCTAGTCGTGTTCATATTTTGATCATCTATTTTTGAGATTCTAACTCTCCTTTTTCGCGTATTGAATATAAAAGAATATAAAACATACCATTCCCGTCTTGAGATCGTGAAGTTCCCGAAGACGGTTCTGTCGGTTCTGATTCTGTCTCAATTGAATTTAGGAAAAACGAATGTATTTTAGGGCATTTCTTGACAATTTCGTCTAACTGCTTTTGTTAATTGATCTTCTGCCGTTTCCAGAATGCACCACCTTCTTTTTTACTCATCTTCTTAAATTTCAGTTCCAATATTTATTTATTATTATTAGTACCATTACCAACAATACCAACGACAACCTATTGAATACTGAACTCTGATTTTGTATTTTGTTATTGAGTTAGACGAATCACGAAATCACCTCTAACTCTACTGAGTAAAATGCGGTTTTTCTTCACATCATCAAATAAAAGTATGTACCGCCGCCGCTTTTGTATTGTAGCGTCCAAGACACAGCTGACGCTAGATTAGTGCATGTTATGATTTTCACAAAAACAGTATCTCAACCAGTCAACGACTGTATTGCTGCTTGCTTTTCCTCTTTTCTGTTTTCCTCTACCGCCTCTTAAATTCACCGCCGGGGGCTGATAGTCCCATAGCCCCCCCCCCCTAAATCCGGCACTGTCCTCTAAACCAACTGTCGGCAACCTTTTAGCAGGCAAGGGCCATATAGTGGCAAATAGAATTAAAGGCCCGCACTTGATCATAATTCTGATCAAAGGTACTTGTGTGATTGAAAAATAAGGAAAAATTTTATTCGAAATTTATTAAACATGTTAACAAGAACCTCAAGTTAGAACTGTTAGGTATTCTACAAAAATTAGTGTGACGTTTGAGACTGTATTTGAGTGGCTATTTGTTGTATGTTAGTTTCCTGGTTTGTAGTTGCAATCCGTAGAATAGCTCTCAAATGTCCATCTGTGAGACGAGAAGCATATTTATTTTTTCTGTAATTAAGAATCGAAAGTTTGTTCGTATTCTGGCAGATAACTTATATTTCCAAATTTCTTTTTTTGATCTGGACGGGTACTTATTTATGTACTCAGGAAGGCAAAGACTTGTATTTATAAAAGCATACCCATAGAGGTCAGGCTAGGAAATATAATATACGTAAATATAGTCTACAATTATTTTTCTCTTCCTAAGCCAAAGTGCCGAATTAGTGTGCAATGATAGCGGGTTGAGGGCGTTTGTACAACTACCATTTTGCTTCATTAGTTTCTTTCCATGCAACTTTCGTTTTTCTTATAGGCGTCATAGGTATTTGTTTTTTACAGTATTGTATACAGTTAAAAATTCCCTTCCTAGCCATGCATAACATACCGACATTATCACCCGAAAAAACGCCAAAAAAACAGTAAAAACCATTTTTTTGATGATCGCTGCTTACAATTTAACTGCCCTACGGAAGGCATTGCCGAACGTGTAGAGTGGATACGATGCGAAGTGGCGCTGTATATTGTTGTCAACAATTCTCACTTATAATTACACGAGAGCTTTATTTTTGTCGAACTAAACTTGACATGTATCAATAAGAATTTTGTTGCCTGACAATTTGACGAAAAAAACTGCCCCTGAAAAGATAAAGAGTCCGTAGGACGAGTAATTTTTTCTGGCAGTTTTTCAAGTTGTATTACCTAATGGCAACAAAATTCGAATTATAAATGCCAAGTTCACTTCGACTAAAAAGAAAGCTAGAGGATAATTCGGTAAGACAATTTAATTCATAGAACATTTTGTTTATGGCTCGTTGTCATGATTTCAGAAGTAAGGTTCAGTTATTGTCGCTGGAAATGTTAGGGCAAACTTTTTTCGCTGTCAATGACAAAATCACGCGACTTTTCATACATGAATTAAATTGTCAATAAAAAATCATCATTTGTTAATGTTTGGCATTTTGTTAATTCAACTAATAACTCACAAAAACTGGAGATGATATGATCATCGAACATTTAGTTGGATCGGGGGTCAACCTTCCCCCCCTCCTGCGTACTTTTGTCCTAAGGAAGTATAATATGCATCTACCATACATTGATTTTCGCCATTGATTTTATCAATTGGACTCCAATTTTTGTTAACAATATTATTTGATACCGTTCGGCGACAGTTTTTTTATGATTTATAGTATGATAGGTGTCATAATGAATCCCTCGAATAAAATTGTTGGACCTGATTCATGTAAATGGCAAAGAAAAAATCAATCCGTTGTCATAACAAATTTTCGTCATTTAGCGGAGTAAAGGCTGTAGCACCGGAGCTTGCAGCTGCAAGAAAGCAGGTCTTCAAATTCGCTGCTCAGCAATGCGCAAGCACTGCACAGGCCACTCCTGTGAAAATGCTCCCACAACTGATTTGAATGAGGGGGCCTCACTAGACATATTAGATGACGAATAGGTCGACGGCAACGTCTTCATTGACAACCAACGGCTAAGAAATCCCGACAGGAAATATAAGGAGTACAAATGGGTACCTATAATATTGTCGCTATTTCTGAAAAACGTCTTATTTTACCTAGTCTGGCATGATTTGTAGTGGAGGAGGAGGAAGGCTATCGATCTCAAACGTAACTAATATCAATACCAACTTGGTGTTCATATGGTTCATCAGAGAAGAACATTAGGGTGAGTGTTCAAGATCAGTGATTCCAACCAGGATATGACAGAAAAAATGAGGAACAGTTCTGCAATATTTGTCATATTTTAGCGAATTTGGAAAAATTACCTTTTTTTCGAAGCGCCATATCTCGATAATGAATTGACCTACACAAATGTTCAAAAATCGTTATTGTAGTAAATTCAACGCTCTACAGAAAAGTATGGAAGTATTTTTGACGTAAGCCGGAAGAAAAAAAGTTATTGAGGAAAAACCGGAGAGTTCGAAAATTTTGCAGTTTGCATCCCCCTCCTCTATTCACACAGGGTCCTCGGGGTTCAAAACATGAGAAAACATCAATTAAGCTTTCTTGATCAACATCCCAGAGTTTCATCAACTTCCGACCTTTTTCCACGTACCCCCACTTTTTCCAATAATAATCAAGGATTCAATGAACATTGAATTGATTACCTTGTAAAACTGCAAAAACTTCATCTTGATGCCGGAGTACGTATGACATCAGAATAACGAACACGTTCGTGATTTGTGTTTCATTGAACCGCATCGACTCTTGTCCATCGTTGCCTTTCCAAATTTTATCGACCAATATCGAGTAATACTCGAAAATAGGTCGCACTTGCAGTAGATTTTGGTACAATTCGGAAAACGATATGGAACTCTCTTTATGCAAGGTTTTCAGTCGCCTCTGAACAGCCCTGGAAAAATCGATGGATTCTCCAGATTGAATATCAATATACAGGGTGACATTTCGAAAACTTCCCACCCTCAATATCAAAATCAATATATGAGAAATCTAAAAAACAGTTCGATTTTATTTTCAAGGGGGGCACTTGAAATGATTAGTTTTATCCTCTTGGTTCAACCCCCTAGGAGGGGTAGATGTCACCCCTAGAACCTCATCTGAAGAGGGAGGTCAAGATGCACATTATTTTGAAAGACGTTCAAGTCTCTTTTCAACTATACCCTAATTTTTCATTTTTTAATGAGTAGTTTCCGAATAATGCCGTTTTAAACTTACAGAAGTAATAAGAACATGCCTGCACTGATAACTAAACTAAAAAAATTGAACACCCTTTAAAATAAAATGCATATTGAAGCCCCTTATACAGGGTGTTTCATGAGAAGACTCACATAGCCAGATGCTTAATAGGAGAAATCAAGTCGAGTTGATGTATATATATGAAAACATTTTTTGACCCCCCCATAACGAAGATACAGGGTATTATGTGAAATTGCTATATAACTTTGATGGTCGATATTACAGAAATTATTCGTCGTAATCTGCTGAAATTCGGCAGCGACGTATCTCTACTGAAACAATTCAAGATAACTTATTATGAAAAAAAATATATCCAGGTCCGTACTTGGGAAAATTTTATGTTTCATTGTTATGTCAAAAAAGTTCACTTTGTGACCACTTTTCTCGAAAAATTCCATCAGATTCAGAAAGATCAGACAAAACGCCATTAGAACTGCTCTTCAATTTACACGGCACACTGTAAAGTTTCGGAGCATCGGCTGGGGATAGTCCTGCACGATTCGCTGTTGCGTTCCAATTAACAGTGCTGCTCCTAAAGTGGCGCATGGAGTTAGTAACAAAGCCTACACCGAACACGCAGAAAGATATGATGATGTGGTTGTGAGCATCAGAGAAGAAGTAGGACGGTGTATGTAGGTAGGTGTGGAAAACTACCAGCTGAGCGTGAGAGCGGGCCAGCTGCTTAAGTAGACCTCGGTCTCGGGGGTTAACGATGATAGTTAGCAGGCCTGCCACTGCGCATATGGTAGTGAGTACATTACTAGCCTACAAAACACAGCTGAAAAACTCTGAAAAGAGAGCTGATGGGCGGTGCCTGAAAAGGATGTTAGCCAGCTCTCTTGAGCGAACCACATCAGTCATTGAAAACACTTGGGGTTTGCAAAAAGGTCCCATTGGGGACTAGTTGCTGACGTGGAAACGTCCCCCACCAGTACCAGTACCAGTACACGGCACACTTTGACCGGTTCGATAAAAAATATGGAACAAAAACGGGCGGATGAATTTTCGATTTTGACCTGGCTGATAACTCTCAACTTTCAACTGGATTCGTGTAAATTGATTTTTTTGTACATTTTTATTGGATAGAAATCGACAAAAGAGATTAGTTCTGATTTTTTTATGATTTGACATGTTAGTTTTTGATCGAACTTCTAGATAGACATGATTACTCGTGGTTCTATTTTAAAAATTTGTTATGAAGTGGCCCTGTTTTTATTTTATGTAACGTGGCGTTTGTTGATAGGTAAACACTGGTAATCGAAATATTCTAACACTCTAGGTGCCACTTCATATTCCAAATGCTGAACAAGACGAAAATCCAAGTGCCATGCTATGTTTAATACCAAAGAATATTTCCAAACCCAAGAATACGTTGCAGTAAAACCTTCACGAGGATGAACATTAGGAATTTTAAATCACTCGCAGAAGTGTATCGATAAAAAAAGGAACTAATTTTATGCGTGCTGACATAACTAATTTGATAAATGACCATAATATGGGCACATGAATCCTCATGTCGTAATTTCATCAGTTGGTACCTACCTATTACTAGCCTACTACCTACCTATCAGTTCGGATTATCAACACGTCTCGTCACACAAATAAAAAACAGGACCTACTTGATATCTCACTTCAAGCGAGACCCATAAAACAAAGTCAGGAATAATAATATCGATCTGGAATTTCGATAAAAAATATCATGTTATGGTCTATCTTTCTGTCAATTACTATTCAACAAAAATGTTGAAAAAATCAATTCACATGATACCAGTTGAAAGTTAACAGTTATCAGCCAGGTCAAAATTCATTCGAACGATTTTGTTCCATATTTTTTCATTGAACCGGTCAAAGTGTGCCGTGTAAATTGAAGAGAAGTTCTCATAGCGTTTTGTCTGATCTTTCTGAATCTGATTGAATTTTTCAAGAAAAGTGGTCACAAAGTGAACTTTTTTGGCATAACAATGAAACATAAAATTTTCCCAAGTCCAGACGTGGATATTTCTTTTTCATAATATGTTATCTTGAATAGTTTCAGTAGAGATACGTCGCTGCCAAATTTCAGCAGATTACGACGAATCATTTCTGTAATATCGACCATCAAAGTTATATAGCAATTTCACATAATACCCTGTATCTTCGTTATGGAGGGTCAAAAAATGTTTTCATATATATATACATCAACTCGTCTTGATTTCCCCTATTAACCATTTGGCTATGTGAGTCTTCTCATGAAACACCCTGTATATAAGGTTCTGAGGATAACATCTACCCCTCCTAGGGGGTTGAACCAAGAGGGCCAAAAATATACATTTGAAGTGTCCCTCTTGACATTGAAATTGACCTATCTTTTCGATTTTTCATTTTATTTACTGAAAGGAAGATATTAAGGGTGGGAAGGTTTTTAATTGACACAGCATTTTTCGGAAACTGCTCAACAGGAAATGATAAACTAGGGAGTTGAACCAAGAGGGCTAAAAATATTCATCTCAAGTGTCCTCCTTGAAAATAAAATCGACCTATCTTCTCGATTTTTCATATTATTTACTGAAAGGAAAATATTGCGGGTGGCAAGTTTTCAAAACGTCACCCTGTATAAACACCGCGATTCATTCATGAATCATTAAAATCATTGAAAAGTATCCGCCGACAATCCTAAGCGCCGAACGCGGTTGAATAAATGAAATCGCGAAGTGTGGGAATAGTAACAGATACTTGTACATCTGCGGGTGAGTGCTCAGATTAAATTATAATCAGGCACCGCGATTCAATAGAGAGTTGAAGTGTTGCCATGAACGTTAACGTAAACGTAGAAATTGACAGCTACGCATGCGCATTTTCCAATTCTTCACGTTTGCGTTGTTAGTGGGCTTACGGGTGTACGTTATCTCACGTTCCTTCACGTATACCTTAAATATCAACGTACGTTAACCAAAGTATACTCGAAATATGCCGATGAGTCAAAATTATCAAATTCGAGATCACCAACGAGTTCTGCATCAGGGAGTCCTCTAATTTTGACAGGAATAAATGTTCGAATCTAAACACACAACCAAAAATGACCAATACAAACCGAGAACAAAATGTATTATTACGTTATGATGACAGTGACGACCAAAGTGGCGACTTCAACTCAATTTAACGACAATACGTAAACGTTATTTTTCGTACGTTAACGTCTACGTGGAGGTCTACGTACAGTGATTACTTCAACTCTCTATTCATAAATAATTAAAACGTATAGGTCAACGTTCCTGAACGCCAAACACGGATAAATGAATGAAACGGCGAATGGTGGGGATAACTCTGCGGAATCATCGTCAGGAAATTGATATATTCAATAGATACGATATAATAGGAAATATCGGGGAGTTCAGTCAATCGGGCTACAAGCAAACTACTTTATTGCTATGCCAAGCTTTCGAAAATTTTCATTTTCTTCTTCAAGGCTGAAACAATATATCGTATATGAAACATTTTGTTACAAGTCAATTCAACAAAATCGAGAACTTACTCGCAATGCGAGTTAAAAGGTATAAATTGGAATAATAATGAGTTTTAAAAAATATAAATGATGTAGACAAAAAAATTAATAGGATAGTGACAAGAGTCATATAATTTATATACTGGAAGAAATGGAATTATAAAATTAAATTGTTGTTGAATATCTTATGAGGTACAGTCATTTTGAATATCATCATGAACAAATGATAATAAATAAGAAAATATCTGACTTTAATAGATACATTCAATATATCTGATGAATCAGGATTTCTATGAATGTGTGTGTATGAATTAATAAACTAGCTCTCACGTGTTGTAATGATAATGCTAAATAGTTAACTATTTTTCAAAGTTTAAAAGTAGACGAATAATAATCAATGTAAGAAATGTCATTTGTCGTTTAGTGATTAGTTTTGGGTGTTTCGGTTACTCTTTTGATATTATGAATCTGAAGCAAACTATTTTGTGAATAAATATGATTTGGTATTGTCAAATTTGTAAAGAAAAGTTACAAATATCCTAACCTGATATTCACGGGTACGTAGGGTGTTGTTTGGTGGCTTGCTTTGGTTGATGAAACGCGTGTTGATAATATAGAAAATATCAAATGACCTCACTGAAGCATTGCGAAATATAATTGTATTATGCTAGAACACGTGAGAGTTGATTTATTAATGCACATACACACATTTTTTTGAATTCCGATACATTTGATGTATAAAATACTAGAAGACCTCGCAAACGTTGTTTTGCTATACAGTGTGTCCCACTTACCATGCTCACCATGGGTATCTTTTTAACGGTGAGAGATACGAGGTCGGTTGAATGACACCAAATGTGGAGTTTGTCAAGGCCAACTATAATGTGAAAACATATTTTGATAAAATCTATTTGTTTTTGTTTTATACGTAAAAAACAGATTTTGATCATTTTCATGTCTCCTCCATAACTTCTTTATTTATGAAAATATTCAAATAGGAATTTCACATTCTCATGGCAGTTTTTCAAAGTGATTTCGAAAAAAAATATGAAATTTATACCAACTCTTCTAGAATTTGAGATATCAGCACCAACTTTAGTTTTTCAAATGTAGGTCATAGCTCACTATGACTTAGTTACAAATAACTTTTTTTTCTCTTACAGATGATATGTCGCAGTAATAGTTTTGTGTTGATAACAACGGAGTTATCGTCATTTATACAAAAACAAAAAATTATTTGGAAGCCGCCATCCTGAATTTATGAATTTTAACAAAAAAATCATGATCTCCGACCTCAAAAACCCCCACTCATCAATATTGAATGGAATCGGACCAAATCTTGTCCGCCATCTTGGAGCAGCCATTTTTTTTAATTTCAACAAAAATTCCATGATGTATTGTCACCGAAATTATGAACACCTGCCAAATTTCAAGTTGATCGGAGTTATGGAATTTTTGTTGAAATAAAAAAAAAATGCTGCTCCAAGATGGCGGACAAGATTTGGTCCGATCCCATTTAAAATTGGTAAGTGGGGGTTTTTGAGGTCGGAGATCATGATTTTTTTGTTAAAATTCATAAATTCAGGATGGCGGCTTCCAAATAATTTTTTGTTTTTGTATAAATGACGATAACTCCGTTGTTATCAACACAAAACTATTACTGCAACATATCATCTGTAAGAGAAAAAAAAGTTATTTGTAACTAAGTCATAGTGAGCTATGACCTACATTTGAAAAACTAAAGTTGGTGCTGATATCTCAAATTCTAGAAGAGTTGGTATAAATTTCATATTTGTTTCGAAATCACTTGAAAAACTGCCATGAGAATGTGAAATTCCTATTTGAATATTTTCATAAATAAAAAAGTCATGGAGGAGACATGGAAATGATCGAAATCTGTTTTTTGCGTATAAAACAAAAACGAATAGATTTTATCAATATATTTTTCCACATTATAGTTGGCCTTGACATTGTTAAAAAGATACCCATGGTGAGCATGGTAAGTGGGACACACTGTATACATTATTTCTATAATATATTTTTTCAGTCCAATATTCATCAACATACTATTATTATTATTTTATTTTCAACTTCATTTTGGTTTCGCTATCTATAAAAGCGTGTTTCTTCAGTTTTTCGAACTACCATTTATTTCAACTTCTTTTAAGTTCACTTGAATTTCCCAATTTTAATGGAAGAATCATAATATCCGACTCCCAAAACCCCAGATGAAAAATTTTGAATAGAATCGGAACATAAATACAAAACTCGTCCGCAATATTGGATCTACCATCTTGAATTCTATAATTTTGACGAAAGAATCATAACTTTGGATCCCAGGAACGCCCACTTACAAATTTTGAATAGAATCGGTATATAATTACAAAACTCGTCCGGTATATTGGTTCCACCGTCTTGAATTTCCGAATCCCACCCTTTCCAAATTATGACAAAGAATCATAATCTCCGACCCCCAACACCCAGATAACAATTTTGAAGAGAGTTGGATCATAATTATAATACTCGTCCGCCATATTGGGTCCGCCATCTTGAATTTCCTAATTTTGACAAAAGAATCATAATCTGCGGCCCCGAGAACCAGCAGATACCAAATTTGAATAAAATCTAATCCTAATTACAAAATCCAACATTTTGGATCCGCCATCTTGGATTCCTTAATTTTGACGAAGGAATCATAATCCCCGATCACGAAAATCCCCAGATACCAATTTTGAATAGAAACGGACCATAAATATAAAACTCGCCCGATATATTAGATCCGTCATCTTGAATTTTCTGCTGGTACCGGGATAACAAGTATGCTATAACCTTCTCCCGGTTCTAGCCTCCCCACCAATTTTCAGCCAAATCGATCCAGTAGTTCTGGAGCCTAATTAATACATACAAACCATACAAACAAACAAACAAATCTTTCCTCTTCATAATATTAGTATAGATATTTATGAAGAATATCAATTTTCTGGCAATAATTCCTTAGTATTATCCCCACTATTCGCGATTTCATTCATTTATCCGTGTTTGGCGTTCAGGATTGACGGCGGATACTTTTTATGATTCATGAATGATTGCAACGATATTATGATATCGACTCATCAAAAAAATCTCAATTTTTCTCACCTAGACGTCTTCCCTTTGCTCACCGGACACACCCTATGTAGAACATCTCGGACTACACAGTAAGGCACGATTTGCTTCTTGTACTTGTCGTTCTGCAAAAACAAATCGGCAATCTTGCACAACACCAACGCCTTGTCTTCCTCAGCAGTCCATCTCACTCTCCGGTTAGTGCCGATTTTCTTCAAAATCATCTTGTCGATGCTATGGAAATACTCAATTAAATGAAGAAATTTCGTATTTCGTGAGAAATTTTATTGTTATATGTAATACCACAGTTACGACAGCTTGTTGCCTATTAATTTCACGAATGACATTGTTTATCAAAACTTTCGAGCCGTAGGCGAGAAGTTTTGGAACAATGTCATAAGCGAGATCAAAGCAGCAAGCTAAAGTATGTCAATCTACGGATATTTTTAGGAAAAATAAAATGACGAGTTGTATTCGTGTCACTATTTCATGATTGAGACAATAAACGAGCACCTAGCGAGAGTTGCACACACTGCATCCATCATTCTGGTTTCCAATACAATTGACGTTTTGAATGTCAAAAATATTATCGCCGAAAAACGAGGTTGTTGGTCTCGTGTGGATCAATTAGGCTTCTGTATTGTTAGATTAAGTCCGATAATTTTTAGTAAACAAAAAATATCGCTGTAATACAGAAGGAACCATGAAAAGAGTGGAATAGTCAAGTAAAAAAAAACTGGTGTGAGCAGGACCACACGTCGGAAGTGATAACTTCTATAGGCGACTAAATTTGAGATCGCAGCGCCAGTGGCCGGTTATGGAACTATATAATAATAATAATAATAAACGCCTTTTATTGTCATGTGAAATACATGAAAAAAAAATCTTACATAGACTGTTGGCGAAGTCTAGCTCAAAGCTATTCCACTTAACCAACAGAGGGCTGGCTATATATGACCAAAAAAGCAAAATGACTTTAGCAAATTGACTGAGACAGCAAGGAAGGTAAAACAAAAAAAATGAAATGCAATACACATAATGGGCACTTATTAATTAATTGCTAGCAATACAAATAATATAATTTAGAGTGATAAAACAAATCTAAGACATGAAGGATGTACTAAATAATATTATATCAAGACTGCGTATCGAGTAGATGCTTCTTAAATTTATATCTGAACTTATTTATATTATGAGCTTCAAATTAGTCAGTTAAAATATTATATATTTGAATAGCATTGAAGACAAAACATCTTTGAAAAAAATTATTTCTGTGTTGCGGTATGGTCAGGATGGTTCTCTGTCTGATGTTTTTAGAGTGTATTCTGAATCGGGGAATGAATTTGCTTGCCAGAGCTGGAGGATTGGAGTCACTCAATAGTTTATGAGTAAAGGTACCTAAGTGGAGAGCTGTCTTCTATTGTTCATATTAAGCCAGTTGCATTCCCTAAGTTTATGTGAAATAGGATCATATTTTCTGATACCATAGATTAGTCTACAGCAGCTATTCTGGACTTTTTGTATTCAATCTTTATCAATTTTCGTCAAGCAAGTCGCAATAGTTAAAGTTGCTCAACACGAGTGACTCGCACAAAGTTCTTTTCATTTTAACACTGAGAACATGTCGATTACTGAAAATAAGTTTTATGATGCGACAGCTTTACCAATAATATTTTTTATGTGCTGAGCAAAACGCATGACAGTGTCTGATACTAAGCCAAGATTTCTTGGAGGTGGAACTTTATAATCTTCTTCAGAGGAAATTGAAAAATAAATCATCCTCGGGATTTGATGAGCTTCCAATGTTCGTTCTGAAAAAATGTCATTCAGTTGTTATTGCACCTTTGCTCTTCCTGGTAAATTTAACTTTCACTACAGGTACATTTCCGAGCTTGTTGAAAACTGGAAGAATAATACCAATTTACCAGAAGAATAGTCCCCATTCATTAGAAAATCGACCAGTCACGATTCCATCCTGCTTTTCAAAAGTATTTGAATATGCTTTTTTAAACAGATTACTTCCATTCTGCCATATTCACAATCTTTTCACAACGAATCAGCACGGATTCCTGGACAATAAATCAACTACCACAGCCATTCACTCCTATTATAGTGAGATAATTAGATTTATTTATTTATTGGTAGAAAGTCATTTGCGATATGGTATCCTAGCATGGGGTGCAGCTCTCAAAACTCATATTCAACCACTTGAGGTCATACAACGAAGATTTCTTAAAATAATTCTCAATAGAAACTGGAGATTTCCTACAGATGACATTTATCTTGAAAGTAAAGTTCTTGATATAAGACAATTATACTTCTTAAATATAAATTTGAAATTCCATACAATTCGACATCACGCCAATCTTCCCTCGCACAACTACAGAACTCGACAAAGAAGTCATCATACTATTCCTCATATGACGAAATCTTTATGCCAACGATCATTCAATTACTTGGCGCCAAAGGCATATAATACCTTACCAGAAGCAATCAAATCAATTGCCATCCAAACAATATTCAAAAACAGATTGAAAAAGTTCATCTATGATTCGCCTAGAGTGTCAATTCGGGATTTAATTGAATTAAGAAACTGAAATACATCTATATTTCTCGTATGTCTTGTGCTAATTTCTATTCCAACACTGTTTATACATTATTTTTGAAAAATAGTTCTTATTTTAATTTTGTTCGATTTTTAGTAATAATATGTTCATAATATTTTATATGATTTTTGAGGAAAATCAGTACATTGACAAATTTTCATTTAAAGCTCGGATAAAAGAGAATTACAACTATAATATTAGGTGTGATTCTCTTTTATTAAAAGTACAGTATAAAATGTACGGTTTTCCTTTATCCCTACTTTTGAGGTTCTTTTTATGTACACATATTTTCGTACACGCTACTAGGTATTTATTTGTATTTGTATTTGTATTTGTATTTGTATTTGTATTTGTATTTGTATTTGTATTTGTATTTGTATTTATATTTATATTTGTATTTGTATTTATTTTTATCGAAACAAGCATGAACATGCTTATCGATTATCGCATCATTTATACTATAGTCACCCTATATACCATATATTATATTGAGTTGTTTCTTGTATAGATCAATAAATGATATTATTATTATTATTATTATTATTGAGGCGGGAGAATGCCCTGTTGGGATTTTCTGTGATCTCAGCAGGGCATTTGATTGCGTTGACCATAACATTCTCCTTAATAAACTCTTCAGGTATGGTATTCGTGGTACTCCACTGGCCTGGATAGCAGACTACCTTTCTTTGAGGAAACAATTTGTTGAAATCAACAAAACACCATCTGACTTCATTTCAACAGAATTAGGGGTTCTACAAGGATCAATTTTGGGACCTGTATTATTTCTATTCTATGTTAATGACCTCGATAAGTCAATTGATACATCTATGACCATGTATGCAGATGATACGTCCATAATTATCTCTGATAAGAATGATTCAGCCCTCAACGATAAATGCAATCAAGTTTTTCAAGATTTGAATAGATGGTTTTCTGCAAATAACCTTTACTTGAATGTTGATAAAACAGTTTCCATTCGATTCCACAATCGTCAGAAAAGTTGTGACTTTATCACTTTCCAGGCAAAGGAAAATTCTGATCTCGTTATTACAGATAGTGTAAGCACCACATTTCTGGGACTCTCTATCGACCAATGTTTGGGGTGGCATAACCATTGTGCACTATTAACAAAGAAATTGAACACAATATCATGTCAATTGAGAAACTTGAAACAAGTTTTGAATATTGATCAATTGTTGACCTTGTATTACGCACAGATTGACTCTAGACTTAGGTATGGTTTATGTTTCTGGGGCCTATCTACACACTGGAAAGATGTTTTTATAGCTCAAAAAAGAATAGTACGAATAATGGTAGGTGTTCCTATGAGAGAATCCTGCAGAAATATATTCATCAACTATAAAATTTTAACATTACCTTGTCTTTTAATATTTGAATATTGTGTATTTGTTTTCAAAAATTATGATGACTATTTTGTTCTCAACAAATCCAAACATAATGTGAATACCCGGCTAAAAAATGATGTATATGTCCCATTTGGTAAATGTAAATTAGCATACAATTCTCCTAATCTCATGGCCCCACGAATTTTCAATTTACTGCCAATCAAAATAAAAAACTGTGAAACATTGGTTGTGTTTAAAAGAAGATTGAAAGAGTTCCTGTTACATAACTGTTTTTATAGTGTAGATGAGTATATGTCCCTTTAGTTTGTAAGACCTATTGACGATTCCTATACAATATGAAATGTAATTGTCTAAAAAGGAAAATAAAGTTTATCTATCTATCTATCTATCTTCTTGCTGAATCACAGACTTGTAATGGGGTATTATCAATTGGTAGATTGAGACTATTCTTCAAAAAGTTTGTTATTTTTTCTAAAGAAATAGAGTACCTTGGATTTTATAGAATTGAGTTTCAAGCTGTGTTCATAGGAAGATGTCTTAATTCTAATCAATTCATTGTTCATGATTTCTCCTGCGAAAGCGAAATCTTCAGTACGAAAGTCAAATACAGCTGAGTATCATCAGCAAGATCCTGTACTTTACATTGTTCTATTTCGTTCAAAATATCGGCGGTATATATAATAAACAGCAAAGGACCCAGTATAGACCCTTGCGGGGAACCTGAAAGAATGTCAAGTTCAGATGAGTAAGAACCATCAACAAAAATTCTCTGGGAACGTCTGAGGAAGTAGTTCCATATTAAAAAAAGCATTGTTTTGAAATGGTTCATTGGCATGTGCGTATTATTTCGATTTTTCGGTAGTGATTTAGGCGAAGAAAACTTCACTTTTGATTGTCTAGTTGTTCACTTTTGTGATTCGAGGGAGATTTTCAGCAGATATTCGTTCAAGAGAGTATGTTCCACTACTTCAAATATATGAGATTCGCAAAATGAAACGCCCCAATTCGAGTTTATTATCATTTTGTATTTTTCACAAGAATGAATATGACGTTTAAGGTGTTTTGGTTTGGTGTTTTGGTTCGGACCTATTGCATAAAGCTATCTGTATAGTTTCGTGATATAAGATTAAGGTGAACATGTAAACTCAAACTTGGCGGTTACTGTCTTTCACGGTTGGGAGGACGTATACCTAGTATATAAGTAGCACACTAGAATAGAAAATTTAGTTTTATTCTTCTCCTGAAGATGCTAACATAGTTA